ATTTTGTTGTTGCTTCTGGTATCGAAAGTGGGAACACATTTGAGAGAGTAACTGAGCAACTGTTCCTAGTCAGAAGTTACAGGATTTAGTCCGGAGTTTCTTTTACTGTAAGTTCATGGAAAGTGTCAAACGATCAGCTGATTTGCATGTGCAAGCAAAAACTAGCAGCGGTGAAAGCAAAGTACCTTATATTTGTAAAAAAATGGAAGTAAACAACGAAATGTTTTAATATGTATAGATTTTAATAATTTTTAGTGATATTTCAGCTAAATCAGTGTTGTACAAATGACTGACGTTTTTACAAGAAATAGTGCTTTTTAGGTTCCTATGCATTTCTGCATCTGTTCTCCTTTTACTCTCATTTCACAGTTTGACAGTTCCACAGGTTTTAGTCCGAAGTTCAAAGGAACAGACTAAATGCGAGTAAGCAAAAGGCTGAAATTGTTGGTTATTTTTTGCTCGTTCGCAAAAAATTTGTAATACACTTGAGATGTAAATGAATGAATAAAAATCAACAAAATATTAAACAATTTGTCAATAAGAGTTGCCGTCATCCGACTCTCCATTGTATAGGATTGGTGTGATTTTGTCGTATGTACCATACAATTAGTCACATAACAGGCTAACCTAATATTCGCGGCTTGCGTTTTGGTACGCACGCCGTCGAATTTGTTTTTTTGCGTCACCCGAAATTGGCTTGCGTGCGTTTGCATTTGATTTCATTGAGCGAAACGTCAAATCAAAATGTCACGCAGAACAAAAATTGCAAATTGAGTTAGCTTCATACGCACGCCGTTCAATTTCGGTTGGTCCCATACAAGTTGTATGTGCATGAGAAATTTTTGACAGTAAATTGGCGGCGTGCGTGAATATTAGGTTAGCCTGTTAGGCAATATTTTAACAAGTAATCAATTTCATCGAACTGTATGAAAATTTTGTCGTATGTGAAATTTTTCGTCATATACAAGGAAATGTTGACAGAGTCGCTTGTGAACTTGCAAATACGAGAAAATTTTACTCAATATCTCCGAAGCTTAAGGAGATATCCAAAACCTGATAACACCAATCGAAAGATCTTATTTAAACAAATAAAACTGCATCTTTAACTGAAAATCGTCAAAATGACGCTTAGTCAGCTTTCAGACACACCAAGTCTTGCTTTCAAGTCTGCTCGTTCCGAGGCGAAGAAGGTGAAAAGAGAGGGGAAGAGTACAGATACTCCGTACCGTCAATTCGTTTCAAGTTTTCTTGTCTCTTTGGATCTTTTCGTTGCTTCCCATTTAAAGAACCATGAACTTGAATTCAATAAAAGTAGACGCGTCTGGAAGCAAATAGAAAACACAAAACAGTACGCGAAAAAAATTGCTTTCAAGACTTGACGTGTCTGAAAGGGGACTTACGACAATCTTTTACCCGGGCGACGAAATGTTACCCCGTATTTTTATTTTATGTCCTACTAAAGTTTTCATGTCCCGGCCTAAGTAGTTTTCAACAAAGTGGAAAATATGGTTAAAAGAGATGCCTGAGCGAAGTTAAAGGTTAAGATACATAGTAAAATTTCATGCGAAATATTTTCGTATAACATTTTAACCCATTAGCCCCCGCCTTAAAAAGTCGTTTTGACCATTCCCAATAAACACCAAAAAAATAATTCTCCAACCTTGGAGAAATTCATAGTTCTCAAGTTGATATCTAACATCATTCTCCAACTCATCTCTAACCCACGCGCAGATACGTAAAAAGTGATAGAGATACGAATTTTTAATTATCAAGTGAAAAACTAATGGCCTTATTCATAAAAAATAAAGTAGGTTTAAAGAGCTTTATAAAATGACGTTTTCATACATTTCTCAGTTTATAAACCTTTCTTAAAGCTACTTTATTTTTTATGAATAAGGCCGTAAAGCAATATAAAGGGGAAAACTACCAACGAAAAGTAAGTAATCTTCAAAGTATCCTCAAATATTCTTGAAAGAAAATAAAACGCGAAGTGAATCAAGTGGCATAATTACTGTCGGACTGTATACTGTGAAGTGAATTATTAGTTGCGTTCGCGTAGCTGATAATTTTTCATGTTTAACCAAAACTTTCCGGTTTTTGCGTTCGCGTACGCAAAAAACTTGCAAAGTAGGGGAAATTGATAGAGCAAAGTGACATTTAATTTTGAGGGAAGCTGCTGGTTTCTGCTGGAAAAATTTTTGCCAACAGGAAAACAGCTGATCAAAAAGAGCTAGTTTGAATTTACGCAATTTACGCAACTTACAAAATTGAATTTGATGGTTTGGAAGTTAAAAATGACAAAATGCGACTAATTAAACTTGTAAGAAGTAAGTAGTTATTTGTTTAATCAATAAACTGTGTCAGCATACCACTTTGTAATAAGTTTTCGTACGTTTTAAATTTTACACTTTTGAATGTAAACAAAAATTATATCAGCTGTTTGTCTAACTTGCAAGTTTCTGCACATTTTCTGTTTACGTACTGTTTTGGATACTTTTCTCTTGTGAGAGAACTGGTGACATTTCGCCGGAATTTTGCTGTTGGTTGGTTTTTACTGGAGATTTTAAACGAACGCACCTATTGTAATACGATATTAATTAACTACATAATACAAAATGAGTAAAAAATTGAAAAATTAATATTTAAATTCATCTATATATGTCGTTTCATTCAAAAAGCTATAAGGTGTTTTACTATTTCAATTTCAGTATTTGAATGATATGTTTGAGACCAAATGGAGAATTACATTGGAGTTCAAGTTGAGAACTAGCATTTTCTCAACTTGAGAAACAGTCCTTTTTTCATACAAAGAAAAATGACCTTTTTGTTGAGAGCGCTATGATCCTCCACTTGAGGTACTGTTGAGAAACAACATTGGAGATTTGAGAAACACCTTAGTTCTCAACTTAACCTCAAGTTCAGCTCAAACCTAAATGTTTATTGGTTTACCTCAAGAAACCCCACAAAAAGCAAATTCGTAAGAGGATTGATATATTCCAGAAAATTATTCTTCAGAAAATTTTACTAGGGGTCTTCTCCCCCAAAAACTTCATACCACTAACGTAAAAGTCTATAAAAAATTATAATAAAACAAGTAAATAAGTCTAAGTTCAGGTGGAGCCGAACATTAAATACCCGGCGAAAGTATTAAATATAGTTTTTCACCTTTCTGAAAACTACCGTTATACCTAATAAGATGTGGGCGGTATCACTTCTTTTCAAGGAATTGTTGTTAGATCAATTTTGATTAGGTTAGCGTCCTTAAATTTCGAAATATCGAAGTTTCAAGAATTTCTGAAATTTACCGTTATATGAAAAGTGGGAGTAAGTTTAGTCCGATTTCAATAATCTTTAACGTTTTGCTTTTGTGTGG